ACAACAAAAGGAAAGTGCAGCGAAGGTTTCGCGCCATTTCCGTCGATGTAACCGGCGACGCTTGGCGTGACACGGGTGACGCCAGCTTGCATGCTAGGCATCGCTCCAGATACCAATACTGTATATATATGTATACTTAGTGCATGCTCGAGAGGCTCTGACATGGAAGTGACAAAGAGACACAAGGTCCTCATTGTCGCTCGGCAGACGCCAACAGCACTGGTACGGTCAACGTTGCAGCCTTCCGAAGACCTGAGATTGCACTGTCCGTGGCAGAGCGCCGGCGCACAAGAAGCAAGGTCGTGTGTTGGCGCCATGTCGACGAAGAAGATGCGATGCTTGCATGGTGCATCCAAGCTCGTGACATGAACGCAAGAGTCCGGGTTCAAATATATAATGGCATATCGAGCAACGCAGACAACACACTAGGAGGCGTCGTCGGCTTAGTACATGGCCTGGGACCGGAACGTCGGGTTCGACTTGATGTTGTTGATGAGCGTCTTAATCTGCTTGAGGTCGGGCTGCGGCAGTTCCGGGTTCAGGTAGTTCTGCATGAGCCACTGGTAGCAGTCGTTGGGGTTGGCGTTCTTGTTGTTGAGCAAAAACATCGTCACTTGGGTGCGGTACGGGTTGGGCTTGCGGCCGCGGCGCTCGCCGCCTTCGCCGCCCTCGCCCGGCGCCTTCTTGGTCTTGGGCTGGCTCAGGTTGGTCAAGACGCGGTGGATCTCTTCTTCGGTCGGGTAGTTGGTCTCGTCGAGCACGTTCGACTTGAGCCACATGAGGCACTGCGACGCGTCCATGGCCTGGCCGAGCGCAAAGTAGCGCGCAATCTCTTGGCGAAACACCTTCGAGATGCCACGGCGACCGCGGCGCGGCGCGTTCGGCGAGTTGGGGTTCTTCGTCAGGCTATGGCCCTTCTCGAGAAGCGAAAAGTCGCGGCGGCCTACGTATCTTGCATGAGAAAACCTGTTTCGCCACTTGTGGGCGACGTACCCGCAGCGTAGCTGTGGGGCGCGACGTTGACCGTGTAGCCGCACGAGGCGAGCGTCGAGTTGAGGTTGATGTTGGTGAAGCTGCCGCTCAGGAGCGCGCGGACGCAGCGAAACTCGATGCTCTTCTCGGGCAGCTTGACGAGCACCTTGAAGAGGTTCTGGACAAGCATCTGCTCGCAGCAGCGGGGGCACTTGCGCTTCTTGCAGCTGCACGCGTTCATGATGGTGGTCGACATGCTGCTCGTCGTCTTGGTCGGGCGCTTGCTGGCGAAATGGGAACTGCCCCGAACCAGCAAAAAAAGATTTAAATACAAGCGGGGTAGGGTTCGCTTCGGATTGGCCAAAACGCCCAACGGGACGCACGCCGATTGGCTGCATTTTAAAAGTTCAAACCGAGCGGTTCATTTTTTCACGTCGTGCACTGGCTTCTATACTGAACGCCAATGAACGTCAAAAAATTGAAGGCGGAATTCACGCGCTTCAAATTAAATGTATAATAAAATGCACGGCGTTCGAAAAAAGCGTGTGAAAATCCGGATATTTTTATTCGAGTGGCGGCCACGCGGCCGCGAAAAAACGAAGCGGCTTTTCGCGACGTGACGTTGGCCAATGACAGCGCCAGCGTATTAAACCTCTCGAAACTCAATTCGGCAAGTATAAAAATTCAGCAGAAAACCAGTTTTATATTCGCGTCGCTTTAATTCGACTTTGCACGGCGCGACGCCGCTGAAATAATATTCTGCGCCGCGATTTATGGACAACTTGTCTCGGATCGCGGACGTGGCGCCATGACGACCCGAGACCCGAGACCCGAGACCCGAGACCCGAGACACGCGCGCGGCGTCGAGGCGACCGATCCACGTGCCATCTCAACTTGTCTGCTGCAAGAGTTGGTCGTCGTTGGCGCCAAAACGACACTTCAACATGCCACGAGTGGTATCTTGTGCGTTCTGGAAGAGCTATATTGCCTCGAGTACGACCGGTAGATCCAAGATTGGACGTAGTCGGGTGACGTGTACTTGAACGACAGAGATATCCCTCGTGGAAGATATTATATATTGATTGCGCGCCTGTTACGATTTAGTGCGTGCGGTGATCGATCGCTCGAGTCGAGACTCGGATATTGGTCCTACCTCTCGAGCGCTGCCATTTACTCTAAAATAGCATGGTCGGCCGAGCTGCCTCTGGTCGCACGTCTGGACTATGTGGATGCTGGCACAGACTCGGGCGACAGTGGTGTGGAGCTCGCGCAGAGAGGATGTTGTCTGCAGTAACAAGGAGTGCGTACAAGGTCTCTATTGGTACAATAAGGTAATAAGGGTCTAAGAGGTCGACACGGCAGTCGTGGTGCTAGTCGAACGCGAGTCGGCGCTTTCGGCGCGTCAGCTTGGCAAAATACGAGCTTGGGGTTGTATCGCCCAGAGCCCGCGTCGTCGCCGCCACGTTGGCATTGCAGAGCGCCTTGGCTTTGGCCGCCGCCCGCTCGAGCTCCCGCTTGGTCAAGCGAAAGGCGACTGGTGCTGGCGCCGGCGGTTCTACTCGTCGCTTCTTGACTGGCCGCTCGTCGTCGCTGTCGTCGTCCGTGTCTTGAGCCTCGATTTCCCAGATCGACTGCTCGATGCGCGAGCGGGTCGGCGCCGCTGCTGGCAGCGACTCGGGCGCGACGATGATGGTCTACGCAGCGCCATGAGCTCCATGGAGGCGCCTACGCGACGTACCAGCATGGAGCGAAGGTCGGCGAGGAAGGAGGAGCGGCGAGGTCGATGGCAGCCGCGCCAAATCCTGCACCTTGTTGTTTGCGACTGGGATCAAACGTTTGAATCCCATTATCCGGATTTCCGGATACGCCATTTGAATTTTCGAAACCGTTGGCGGTCCGATAAAGTGCGATTGCCGACTCGGCGGGTGACTGACCTTTCTAAAGTACGAAATAGGACTTAACGGGCCTCCGCGCCACGAGCAACACGACCGCATTGGCGCCAAGTGCGCCAGGTGAACCTATTACACAGTAGTTGGAGCCGTGAACCGAGATCCACGAGGCTAAACAGATTGCTGATATTAAGACTAATTTAGTCCTTGACGAATCAGAGTCCTAGAGGAGGGACACATATCTAGAGAGGAGGCTTGTGACACAAGTGTGAACCAGATCGACGGACGTTTTTTATCTAAGTTTAAATTGAACGCACTAACAGCGCGCGATGGTTCAAGGCACGTTCAATAGTGGTTACCGCTGCGCCCTTTCACAACCAAAATGTGGCAGCCAGCGACACTGACGTCTCGCCAGCGCGCGGTTGCCATCGGCGGCGTC